TAAAACCTAACTATGATGCTATTATTACTTCTTTACAACGTGTACTTATACTCTTTTTTTTTTAAAAAAAAAATCTATCTTGTTGGCTTCTTATAGCTGAAAGTAAGTCAACTAATGATACTAGTAGAGACCAACCAACAGCTCCAGCAGTCTCTTCTACAACCACTAGTAATGCAGAAAGCAATTCATCCACTTCCAAACTTGAAGAAGAGCTTAAAATTGCTTCCAGACTGCGAAAGTTCTCTTTTAATGATCTTAAGTTAGCCACTAGAAATTTTCGGCCTGAGAGTTTTCTTGGTGAAGGTGGGTTTGGTTGTGTTTTCAAGGGGTGGATTGAAGAAAATGGAACTGCTCCAGTGAAACCTGGCACAGGGCTTACAGTTGCTGTAAAAACCCTCAACCATGATGGGCTCCAGGGTCATAAAGAGTGGCTGGTTTGTATATTTTTAAAAAAGTTCTTCTATTATTATCTACTGAATTTTACATTTCTAATGATCATTGTTTGGATTACATGACAGGCTGAAGTAAATTTTCTTGGTGACCTAGTTCATCCGAACCTTGTTAAACTTGTAGGTTACTGCATTGAAGATGATCAAAGGTTGCTAGTGTATGAGTTCATGCCTCGGGGTAGCCTAGAGAATCACTTATTTAGGAGTAAGTTACTCTTTTCTATCTAATTAGTTTCCACATTTTCTTTTTCATGAATCATGGTTGGACCACTACTGCACCTTGAACTTTTGATGACGTCAATGAAGAACCCTCTTGGGTTTATCTGGTGGTGAAGCATGGTACCTTCCCCATGGAAGCCAGATTAAACATTTTTTGGCAGTTTGGCATGGAAAAATAATTTCTTTATGTACCAGCGAAAAGAAATGATATAATATACTACTATACTACAACAGTGATCTGCCTTTTTAAGAATAATGCATATTGCATAAATCTAATCTATTCCATTATAATCTTTCCATTAATAACCTTTGTTTCCTTGATTATGTTGCTTGTAATATAATGGATTTAGCATTTTTCTCTATCATGATTGGAACTGGAACTCATCTATTGCTGTATATTTTATGTTTCGATTATTTCCTTTTTGTATTTATGTTCTCGAACTGAAATTATGTCATTTTTAGGATCTCTACCTCTTCCATGGTCTATTAGAATGAAAATTGCTCTAGGAGCTGCTAAGGGTCTTGCGTTTCTTCATGAAGAAGCTGAACGACCAGTAATATATAGGGATTTTAAAACTTCAAATATACTATTAGATGCAGTAAGTGCCAACAACTATAACAAAATTACATGTTTTTCCCTTTTTGCTTGTCTAATATTGTACAAATTTAGGAGTATAATGCCAAGCTCTCAGACTTTGGTCTTGCCAAAGATGGCCCAGAAGGTGATAAAACCCACGTGTCTACTCGAGTGATGGGAACCTATGGTTATGCAGCACCAGAATATGTCATGACTGGTAATTTTAGTTTGATACTGCAAGTCCAAATCTGCATACTTTTCTTATTTATCATTTTATCCGTAGAGTCACATTTTTATTTTTATTTTTTATTTTGCTATTTCTATCTGACTTTATTTTGTCACTTAGCCATTAATGACCATTACTTCCAAATTTTTTTGAAACTTATTCTTTGTGGGACTGTTTTAATGCTTGGTATATATAAAGTTCTTCATCTTTGATGCTCTTTGTTTTCCACTCAAGACAGAAATACGACTAAGATCATAAATTACTTGATCTCCATGCTTTTCCTGTCTGATGAACATATGTATTGATGGCTTTGATATTCTCAGTTGGGTTCTCATAATGTTTTATGACTAAATTTGAGTTTTATATTATGTTCGTTCCAAATTATCTTAAACACAATCCAAAGTTTGCAATATCTAATTGCTTAAATTCTTATCAGCTTTATTCATGTGGCAGGTCATCTTACATCAAAGAGTGATGTGTACAGTTTTGGAGTAGTACTACTTGAGATGTTGACTGGCAGAAGATCCATGGACAAACACCGACCCAATGGTGAGCATAACCTTGTGGAATGGGCTCGGCCACATCTAGTAGAGAGGAGAAGGTTCTACAAGTTGATAGACCCTCGCTTGGAAGGCCATTTTTCGATAAAAGGAGCTCAGAAAGCTGCCCAACTAGCTGCTCACTGCCTTAGTAGAGATCCAAAAGCCAGGCCTCTAATGAGTGAAGTTGTGGAAGCTTTAAAGCCTTTGCCAAACCTCAAGGACATGGCAAGCTCTTCATATTATTTCCAGACAATGCAAGCTGATCGCTTTGGAGCGAGCCCCAACACAAGAAACGGACGAACACAAGGAGCATTGCTCACCCGCAATGGACACCAGCAAAGGAGTCTTTCAATACCAAATGGTACCTATGCATCTCCTTATCACCATCAGTTTCCTCAACCGTCACCAAAACCCAATGGCAAAGCATAGAGCTGGTGAAAATTTTCTTTTTCCCTTTCACCTTTTATGTCATTTCTTAGTTTTCTCCTTATAGATGTGCCTTCTATCAAAGCATTTGTTCATGGAAAACTTGATAGTAGAAGAAGCATGCTGCTTTATGATGTTATGTTATGGGTGTTTACCCCCTCTAGCTTTGAATGAATTTGAGGGATGAAGCAAGTAAAGCTTACTGAGCTTTCATCTCTTCTGTCAAATTGTTATTCAATATTTTCTTCAGGTTGTTGGGAAATATTGAACACTGTCAAATCCTCATCCTTATTTTATTTTGTTTTTCACATTTTTCACCGGAAAATGTTATCTCCTGATTTATCTACGCTTTGCTTGTGATATCAAACCCTGCAGCTCCTTAAATTAATCGCAGACTCTTGATTTAAAAAAAATTAGAAAAAGCTTTATTGCATTAATTCATACTAGTTATTTGTTCTCACTTAAATATGGTTCCTTGTTGCATTTTACTTATAGTCTGCAGGTTATTCATGATAGAACTTCATAGTAGCACCTTATAGGTAAAAGTGCAAAATTCAACGTCCATTATTGTCTTAAGATTATAGTGCTTGGTGGGGTTGAAAGTGTAGGATAATATATTTTATGTGGGGTCGGACAGGAATGTTCTATAAGTACTAGTTTAAGAATTTATAATTAAAAATATTTTATTAAGAGTTATGGTGGAAGTTTATTACATGATTTTACAAAATTCACTCTTTCCATTCTTTTAGTTACTGTTCTACATATTCCTTTTACCTTCAATATAATAATTGAAGGTTCGGTTAAGTAACTTGATCACATGCCATGCGTTAATTGTATTAAAAATATTATTTTAATTCTAAATTTTATATGAAACTATTTTTTAAAAATGTTTTTATTTTGTTATTTATTGATTTGTAAGAGTAAAGCGTAAAACATTAATAATATATTTCATCTTCCATTTGATACATATAGATAAAATGATTGTGATTAACAATATTTTTATAAATATAGAAAATTCTAAATTAATTTTCATTCTTATAGATATTAATACGGTTGTTGATCAGGTCCTGGAGATATTAATATTTTTAATAAATATTTTTTATTCAGTAAGATATTAATACTAAGATATTTTATTATCCTTAAATTGATTTGGAACACATCCTTCAATTGTCACATCTCGATAAACATTTTAACTTTTTTTCTATTGAATCTTATAAAAAAGAACTAAATATATTCAAATATCACGATTCATACATATGTTGCATATCAGTGTATTTCAAAGATGATGAACACTGCGAAATGTAAATTTTTAACAAATCACTGTAAATTTTAGTTAAAATTTTATTTTTATGACTATATTAAAGTTTTAAACTATGTATATTTTAATAAAATTAATATTTATGAAATTTTCATTTATATATACATATATATTTATTTAAAATTATTTATACCTAATATCATTTCGAACAATTAAGAATTTTTTTGGAGTAATGAACAAATTAAAAAAATTACTAATAATATTGACGTATTATATTAAGACACTTAAAATTCATGTCACTTTACATAGGTTTTCAGATTTCAGATATAGTTTATTTATATTAAATAGCACATTAAATAAAAATTGAATATAAAATTTATAGATATATTAAATGTAATTACATTAAGAAAAATTATTGTATACTTCATGGTGAACTATATTTTTAGTGTAATTTGAATAATTATCATCTGCGGTAAAAATATTATAAATTTAAGATTTCAAAATATTTTAAGTAATTCAAAATAAAATTACATAAAAAGTAAAATGTTATTACTTAATACTAAATGTATAAAAAAATCAACATTGGTTGTTATAAATAACATTAATTTCAATTATTTAATAATCATTAAATACATTAAGTAACATAAATTCATTTAAAAAAATGATCAACTGTCACATAAATTTATTATTTATTTTAATAATTAATTCTTCCTTCAATACAACGAATAACATTAAATTCAATTATATCCTATTATATTAATTTTATAAAACTGAAATTTTAATTAACGTCCAAGACCAGTTCAGATCTCCATTACTAATAAATTTCTAAAGAAAATTCTTACAAAACTTATTTAAAAACAAAAATATTATTAATATGAATTTCGCATAGAGAAATTGTTTAAGGTTATAGAATATATATATATATATATATATATATATATATATATATATATATATATTAACCATTCTCTTAATAATGGTTTAAAAAGTAAAAATATTTCGTTAATATAATCTTATATATAAATTATTTAAAATTAATTTTTAAATGATTATTTTTAGAAATATTATCGTGTAAATAAATTTCTTCCATTTTGAATGAATCATATATGTGGACCCATGTACTGAGTGGACCCTTATATTATCTAATATTGAATAACATTAAAGTGAATAATTTAACTCAGCATTAAATATAATTAGAAACAATAAATTATAACAATATTGTGATTATTATGAAATATTGAAAAGACAGAAACAAGAAGTGTTGGTTCTGAAACAGTAAAGCTGACGGAGGTTCGGTTTGGCGATGGCTAGGGAGGACATCCAGATCAGCATCCCGGTGGGTCCCACTCTTTTGGGCAGCTCAAACTTCTTCCCCTCTTCTTCCACAGTTATAAACTCTCTTTTCCAGTCTTCCATAGAAAAAATCTACTTTTTTTTTTTGAACAAAAAAATTAACTAATACTTATCATTACAATGTTAAAATTTAGTTTAGTTAAAACATACCAAAATCACGCTCTGTCAGATAGCAACAAACCAAGGAGAGAGAATGAACGTTACAGAGTTAGTATAGTAATTCCTAACTGCTAGCTCAGTATTATCCTAATATTTAAATTTAAGAAACTGTTTTAAATATTATTAATATATTTAGTTTAAAAGAAAAATCATAAGTTTTTGTTCAGCATGCTGTGTATTGTGCTAATGTTGCAGAGGAGGACCCATATCAGTTATGTATCTTTGAGCGGAGATTACTGAGTTCAGCCCAGGTGCTGTTCACTCTGTTCTTTCTGCCCCACTCTCCTCACTTTTCATTTCCCAATTCCCAATTCCCAATCCATCTACCCTTCAAGTTTTTTTTTTTTTTTCCTTTTTTTTTGGTATTTTCATCTACTTAATGTGATCTGTTACTTTTCCCCTTTTCAGTTTTTATTTCTGGGTCTTGTGGGTTACCCGGTTTCAAGGGTTTTTGGGTTGTAAAGTTGTGATTTTTAGGTTTTACTTGGGAATTTGCTATCTGGGGTTGTGGGAGGGTAGGAGGAGGTGGTATCTGGAATTGATGATATCTGGGTTTGGTGGTTTGGTTGTCTAGGAACTAGTAGATATGGGGTTGGGTGCTGAGAATGGTAAGGTGGTGGAGGCTTGGGATGTGTGTAAAGCAAAGGGGAGGAAGAAGAAAGGGGATGATGAAGTGGAAGAGACTGGGTCTGGGTGTTGGCTTAAGCTGAGGTTCATTGGGAGCTGCATTTCGTCAAGATCCAAGGTCGATACCTCAGTCAGTGGCAGTGGCACCAGTACTCATTACGGTAATTATTACTATTTCTTTGAAAGAGTTGTTACTGTTGATGTTGTCATTCTTGTGATGTTCCATCTCGTGAATGTGTTTGTCATTTGATTTTGTTTGTGCATAAACGTTCCCCATTTTTTGTTTTTAGTAGTTAATCTGTCCTGGCATTGGAGAATTCTTCCTTGAGCACCTAATGCGGGCTTGTTTACCCATTTTGTTTCTTATTTGGTTGAAAGTTACTGTGCTATGTAATGTTAAATTATACACAAATGATTCCCATGGCTGCATTTTGCAGGCTGCAGCAAAGCAAAGTTGAAATGTAATTTTTAGTTTTTTAATTCCTATTTATTCAGAACTGCAGCGAGTTACATTGTTAATTCCAAGAGATATGACAATGCATATGCTAGCTTCATCAATAGAATGTTTCCTTTACCACACCACCATGTGGTCTTCCAGTTTCACAGAATGAGCAAGCCAGTGAAAAAATTTAAAATTTAGACTGGATTGGAAATACATAAGTGTCAAACTTGTCAGTTGTGGTAATTATTATCATATGAACTTGAGATTAGATAAGAGGAAGGAAGGTAGTCCCATTTACTGTAAAAGGCAAATTACTTGAGGTGGTGTTTAATTCTGATTATTCTTATCTATTATAAAACCTATAGTGCCTGATGCTTTTTACTACTTGTTCTAATAGTTTTTTTTTTTTTTTTAATTCTTTCTTGGTGGCTTCCCATTAGCTGAAAGTAAATCAACTAATGATACTAGTAGAGACCAACCAACGGCTCCAGCAGTCTCTTCTACAACCACTAGTAATGCAGAAAGCAATTCATCCACTTCCAGACTTGAAGAAGAGCTTAAAATTGCTTCCAGATTGCGAAAGTTCTCTTTCAATGACCTTAAGTTAGCCACCAGAAATTTTCGGCCTGAGAGTTTTCTTGGTGAAGGTGGGTTTGGATGTGTTTTCAAAGGGTGGATTGAAGAAAATGGAACTGCTCCAGTGAAACCTGGCACAGGGCTTACGGTTGCTGTAAAAACCCTCAACCATGATGGGCTACAGGGTCACAAAGAATGGCTGGTTTGTATATCCTAAAAAAATTATTTTCTTCTGTTATTATCTACTGAATTTTACATTTCTAATGATCATTCTTGTTTGTCAAATGACAGGCTGAAGTAAATTTTCTTGGCGACCTAGTTCATCCGAACCTTGTTAAACTTGTAGGTTATTGCATTGAAGATGATCAAAGGTTGCTAGTGTATGAGTTCATGCCTCGGGGTAGCCTAGAGAATCACTTGTTTAGGAGTGAGTTACCCTTTTCTATGTAATTAGTTTCCAAATTTTATTTTTCATGAATAATAGTCAGTTCACTACTGCACCATGAAATGTGGATAACATCAAATGAAGAACCCTACTGAATTTCTCTGGTAAAGCATGGTTCCTTCTCCATAGAAGGCAGATTATAAACTTTTGTTAGTTTGGCATAGATTTATTTTATCTATGTACAAGGAATAAGGGGTTATATAATATAGTACTTTTATTATACCTATTTAGAATAATGCATGAATCTAATCTAAACTATTATAATGATTCCATTAATAACCTTTGTTTCTTTGAGTATTTCACTTACAATATAATGGATGTAGTAGTTTTCTCTATCAGGGTTAGAACTGTAACTCGAGACTATTGCTGTATATTTTATATTTGGATTATGTCCTTTTCTATTTATGTTTTCAAGTTGAAATTATGTCTTATGTAGGATCCCTGCCTCTTCCATGGTCCATTAGAATGAAAATTGCCCTGGGAGCTGCTAAGGGTCTTGCTTTTCTTCATGAAGAAGCTGATCGACCAGTAATATATAGGGATTTCAAAACTTCAAATATACTTTTAGATGCAGTAAGTGCGAAAACCTACAATAAGATTACATATTTCCCCCTTTTTGTTTGTCTAAGATTGTACAAATTCAGGAGTACAATGCCAAGCTCTCAGACTTTGGTCTTGCCAAAGATGGTCCAGAAGGTGATAAAACCCATGTATCTACTCGAGTGATGGGAACCTATGGCTATGCCGCACCAGAATATGTGATGACAGGTGATTTTAGTATGATATAGCAAGTCCAAATCTGAATGTTTTAGTGGTTATTTATCATTTTATCTATGAAGTCACAATGCTTAGGCTTTGATGCTATTTCTGTCTGACGCTATTTTGTTGTGCATTTCTCATCTGTGAAGTAATTAGTTTTGTTATTGATGATCATTTCTTTCGACAAAATTCTGAACTAAGATTTTTGAACATAATTCCTTGTTAAACTGTTTCAATGTTTGGAATGTATTAAGCTCTTGATCTCTGACATTATTTGTTTTCCACTCAAGACAAATTTATGATTAAGATAGTAAATTACTTGATCTGTCTATATTTTCCCTGTCTGATGATCAATTGTATTGATGGCTTTGATATCTTCAGTTGTGTTCTCATAATGTTTATTACTTATATAGAAATTGGCGTTTATTATACTCTGTTGATAATTTTCAGCTATGTTTGTTCCAAATTCATGTAAACACAATCCAACGTCTGCAATATCTAATTGCTGAAATTCTAATCAGATTAACTCATGTGGCAGGCCATCTTACATCAAAAAGTGATGTGTACAGTTTCGGAGTGGTACTACTTGAGATGTTGTCTGGCAGAAGATCCATGGACAAACAAAGACCCAATGGTGAGCATAACCTTGTGGAATGGGCTCGGCCGCATCTAGTAGAGAGGAGAAAGTTCTACAAATTGTTAGACCCTCGCTTGGATGGCCACTATTCGGTGAAAGGAGCTCAGAAAGCTGCTCAACTGGCTGCTCACTGCCTTAGTAGAGATCCAAAGGCCAGGCCTCTAATGAGTGAAGTTGTAGAAGCTTTAAAGCCTTTGCCAAACCTCAAGGACATGGCAAGCTCTTCATATTATTTCCAGGCAATGCAAGCTGACCGCATTGGAGCGAGCCCCAACACAAGAAATGGGCGAACACAAGGAGCATTGCTCACCCGCAATGGACACCAACAAAGGAGTCTTTCTATACCAAATGGTACCTATGCATCTCCTTATCACCATCAGTTCCCCCAACCATCACCAAAACCCAATGGCAAAGCATAGAGCTGTTGAAAATTCTCTTTTTCCCTTTCACCTTTTATGTCCTTTCTTAGTTTTTCCTTGTAGATGTACCTTCTGTCAAAGCATTTGTTCATGGAGTTCTTGAGGGCAAAAGAAGCATGTTGCTTTATGATGTTATGTTATGGCTTTAGCTTGAAAGAATATCTGGTAAGAGCAAGTGAAGCTTATTGAGCTACTATCTCTTCTGTCTCATTGTTATTCAATATTTTCAGGTTGTTTGAAAATATTGAACATTATCAAATCCTCATCCTTATTATATTTTGTTTTTCACATGTCTCCGGAAAATGTTATCTCCTGATTTATCTAGGCTTTGCTTGTGATATCAAACCCTGCACTTCATGAAATTAATCACTGTCTTTTGTTTATAAAAAGGTGAGAAAGAAGCTTTATTGCTTAATTTATACCAGTTACTTGTTCTCATACGATCCGGTTCCATATTTTATTTAGCTTTATAGGGTTTCACTTTATAGCTCTTTATAGCACCTTCTAGTAATTAAAAATTCAAATTTTAATATTTGTAGTTTCATCATTGATGTTGATCATTCTTATCATTATTGTCTTAAAGATTATACTGTGGGGTTCAAACGAAGGATAATATATTTTATGTGGGGTCGCATAGGAATGCTTCAAAAGTATTAATTAGTAATGTAATTGTACATAAATTTCGTTTATGTGATTAACATTGAGTTTTTAAAAATTAATGTATATCTTAAAAATTATTAATACAACATAATCTTATATTTTTAAATGTTTCCATTAATTGCAATTCTATTGAATAAGATGCATTTACTAAAGAGCTCAAAAGATTAATATATTTTATCTACTGTATAATAGAGATGATACAATTAAAAGTATTTTTGTAAACAAATAAAATACTCTAGATTGATTCTTAAAAAGTCACAACTTCGCATTTGATTTTATAAACTGGATTTCAAAAAGAGATATAGCATGTTTTTTTAAATGTCAGGTGGGGTTTTATTCATGCACCTCTATGACTTTTAAAATATATATTTTATCCTTATTTTTTTAACATATCCATGATGAAAATATTATTTTGAATTACACATTCTATAATATTTTTCTTTTTGGAATGTCTTGTACGAAATTGTGTAAATGAATAGTATTTATTTTGTATAATTCTAAAATATATGTTCCCAAATGATTATTTTGAAAGAAATTTGATCAATTTTAGAATATATAATTCTGAAATATGTAAGTCAAAAGCTTTTAATACATTCAGAATTATAATTTTATAAATGGATAAATTATTTCAAAAGCATATATTTGCCAATAAAATATACTTGTAGGGTACAGTCTTCTAATCTAAAAAGAAAAAATAAAATAAAAAAGAGTATAAAACTTATATCCTTCACTTTTTTACCCTAAGAAGCACTAATTCTTAAACATACAAGATCCGTACAAAAAAGTTTAACAATGCATTACGTAATATAATAAGTAAATCTGATGATTATTCAAAGCTTACTTTAAAGTGTTCATATATCATTAATATTACAATTAAAATGTTAAAATGAAAAAAAAAAATACATATTAGCTAACGAAAAAATACTCTCGGTGCATATTAAATTATAAGATGAAGATTGTTGCTATTTTAAATTGCACAAAGCCAGATATATAAGAACAAATGGAGATCATGAGTGTGGGTTTGGATGCTCAAGCGCAGTGTTAAGATTGTGACCAAACACAAGGTTGTCTTTCTTTTGGACGAATAATGTCTAACAAGAAAAGGGTTCCCCTATATTCTTCTCCAAGCATGATGCATCCATACCCAAAACCAGAATTCAATAACTTAACTAAAAGACATTATGCCAAATTATTTATGCAACATCGACATGACTGGAAGGGTAATAAAGTGAACATGTTATTGAGAGAGGAGCATCTTAGCCTACTCTGCTCAACTGCTCCTTGGATGTGCTTTCAAATATCTTGTCAGCACTTGCTACCTCAAAACCATCCCTTCTATGGAACTCTTTAACCTGTTTCATTAGTTAGAAGAAGGATTAGCAAATCCACCAGAAAATGCCTTCCAACACATTATGTTAGCAGGTGGTTCAAACTTAAAGTAGTTCACACTTTCATCCTTAACCAAAATAATTGGTCACAAAATCAGTCTTGGCCATCAACAACCAAATATAAGAACCATAACAAAAAGGTAAAACCATATTTCAAAACAAAGAATGATGTTTTACCTCTGTGTCAGGTAAATTTTTATACTGGGGCAGCACCAGACGCTCCGCAAATTCAATGTATGAGCATGGGACTGATTCGGTTATACCATCAGAAAATTGGAAAGAAATTGAATCTGCTACAGTTGAGCTTTGCTGGAGAAGACCATCAGGGCTCACTGGAAGTAGAGGAAATGTTAAAATCATTCACATGATATGTTCCTTGATCACAACAAACTACAACTTGCTATGGTCATCTTCAACTTGAAGATGATTATATTAGCATGTTCATAGTTATCTAGGTTGTAATTTCCATAATCTCACAATTAGGAGCTTGATTCATATACCAATGAAATGTTTTTTTTTTTTTTTTTCAATTCTATTCGATAAATCCCCTGATCAATGAAGATACACAGATATGCAAACAATTTAACAAACTGCTTTACCATTCCTTTGTTTTTCAGTACTTAGAATTTTCAAGTGAAAAGGGCTTACCATAACTTTATTTCCTATGGGGAAAGAAGATAGATTTGATGAGTGAGGCCCAACTTTCAGAAGGTGAACACAAGCAAGAATTGAAGGAAAATAGTCATGTTTTCCATTAATGAATAAGAAGAGGGAATTATTTATTCTTCAATCCTCATTTTTTTCACTTGAGATAGCAATTAACTTATCAGAAAGAAAGCAGGCTGAGATTGTCTTCCAATTGCACATTCAATGCTTTTATTTTGGTTAAAAAAAAAACTGGAAAACATCATACTTTCATAATAACAAACAAGGGTACAAACCTTTCAGCAATCCTCCTTCGGAATTCAATCTGAATCCACTCTCCTCAATAAACTGATTTAGTCTTTTTATGTCCTTCAAATGAGTGCTCAGCCGATGAGTGGATATTGTAACATGGTTCAGCGCATAACCGTTCACTAGGGTCCAGGCAGCATACTCACTTTCACTATGTATCAAGTACCAACAAACCATAACAAGTAAGCCAGATGCTACAAGAGAATAGAAACTTCTCTCAAAAAATATGGCCCGCCATACAGACAGTAATAATACCTTGCCAGTTGTTGAAACTCTGAATATAAGGGCTTTCCCCATGTTAAATGTCCAAGGGAACTTGCAAGTGCTGCATACTTTTTTCCATCCCCAGATGATTCAGTGTATTTTCTAATTATTTCCTTCACAAAAATTCCAAAATTCTTTCAGTACAGTTGGTTTGGATAAGAAATGTAGGTAGAAACTATTGATGCCATGCAACAATGTATATCACTATAGACATGGATTGCAGTCTTAAAAATTAATCCTTCCTTTGCCTCTTAAATTACTGTTATCATGCGAACTCAAATACTAACACCAAAATAAATATTAAGACAAGTAAAACTATTAAAAAAATTATTTATAATCTAGCCCTATACCAAGTAAAACGGAACATTTAGTTACAGGAGCATTTTATGAGCTTCAACAAAACAATTTCTACAACTGGAATTGTGACAGAAGCTAAGCCTTTGGTCTTTAGGTCAAAATGGTGAGAGAGGGTTGTAAGAATTAACAAACTCAATCACCCATACAATTTAGTAAATTTGAGAAAATATGCAGTATTATTTTTAGCATCATTCAGTGCATCAAAAGCTGAAACCTCAATAGCTGCTCAATTTGCCACACAAAAATAAGGTTGGAACTGGGAAGGGCTAAGCTGACTTTATAAGGCCTGATATAAGCTGGGCTTACAAAATCCTATATAAAAGCTTACTCCATGTGGATCAGGTCATAGATCTCAAATGAAGTGTCTACACTATTTCCAGTCTTAGATAACAACCATCATAATAAAGGGTAATCTCTAAGCATATATTACTTTGCTAACATTTGAAACTAGTTGCAGGGGGGAGGAAAGGAAGAAAAACAGCCTCCATCCTTAGTGCATAGATGCACAAGGTATTACTTGAAGAATTTTCTCTCGTACACACCTGAGTTTGTGGACTCATTTCATCTACCAGTAGCTCTGATATAAATATTCTGGGCAAAGGTCCATGAATGCCACTCCCACTGCCAGCCTGTGAATCTGCAGGAGGAGAAAACCACAGTGCTCTCAACTTTTTTTCTGGAAATCTTAACTCATCTCGCTGAGTATAGCCATAATCCAGAAAAAAACTAGCCATCGAATCAATTCCATAACCATTCACCTAATTAAGTGCAACAATACACATGAATGAGCTAATCAGATACAATCAAATCACACAGAAAAGTCTAAAATAGGAAGGAATTAAAGCCAAGAGAAGTACCCCAAATGTCCTGAATGCAAGATGGTCATAGCATAATGATTTGTTCTCAACAGAGTGACAAAGTTCCAATATGGCCTTTGCAGTAGGATTTCTGTTCAAGTAAACGGATTGCATACTTTCCAACACACCCCTGAAAAAACCTTCACCACCCTGCACGAAGAGAAATCGTGTTCGCTCATGAGAAACTCGTGACCAAAATATAAGCTACAGATAATAACATCTCAAGATTTAGGACACATTTGACCCCCTTCTCACTTCTTTTACTTTGAAAACTGCCTTGTAAAACTATTTCTTACTACGCGGGGATCAATTTCTCATCCAAAATCTATCAAGTTTTGAACTTTTTTTTTTTTTTTTCAAAACAGGAGTTAGGAAACAATAAAGAATAAAATAAAAAACAACTGGGTGAAAGTTCCTTATCTTCCATTTTCTTCAACTTTATTCTAGTATTTTGGGGACAAGACAAACTGTAAGAAAACTTTCAAATATACTCAGGAGACAAACAAATTTTCTAATAAAACAGAAAATTATAGTTAAAAAGAACACTCAAGCAAAGCTATACTATCATTACTGCCATCATGGATATCCACTGGCCGACACAATCAACAATCAAATTCCTTTTTTCTATTCCAAAATAAAACTCTTCAAATAATAATTTAAGAAACAAAAAATCATGTCCTTTGGCAAATAAATTATATCATGACACCAAAAGCCACAAACAAGACAAAATTTTGAGTTCTGTCAGAAGAAGTAGAACAGGAAACAAGAAATCCTATGATGACAATAAATAAATAAAATGGAACCTGAATGGGTGATCTCTGGGAAGCATGTTGTGATATGGAGTTACAAGACACGTGAAGGGTTCTCAAGGCCAAGTGCCCCGGTGAAGATGGCTGTTTCATTGGAACTGGAACAAAATTCCAGAAATTGGGTTTGGAAGGGAAAGAGGTTGTTCTGGTGAAAGAGAACAAAGGAGACAAAGAGGAGGATTTGGTAGTAGCAAACATGATGAAGGATAAACTACATGCAACTTCAATCTTGTGAGGAGAAATTCACCATTCCCAGGGGCGGAGGTACGTTCATATAATGTAAACTACCTAACTCGCGTTTTTCTTTCCATTTCTCTTATGGTAACGTCTTATATTATTCTCACTATTAAAACTTTATAACCGGAAAGTACTTCACATTTTTCTCTTTCATTCTACTACTCTTCCTGATATATATGGATGTGAATGAACATTTTTTCTTCTCTAAGAACTCTTAAATTTCGAATTTAACCTATCTCAATATTATTCAAAGCAGTTAAACCCTTTTAGATAGATTAAACATAATTAACATACATAAACTTTAAACAAAATTTTATTAAACCCAAAAACGTGTATGCACAATTCAAGATGAATTAAAGATTTGAATTGATAAAAAAAAAGTTGTATGCGAAAATATAGTGCTAAGTTAAAAAATGTGTGGAGCGCGTGAGATCCAGAGCGCGTGAGGCAGGCAAAATAGAAGAGTCTTGTACGGCATAGTGTAGGTTGCGTCGCGCCTATTTATCCTCAAAATTGATGCAATGACACGTCATCTGTATGTTAGACAGCTTGTTGGAGAATGTCAGTCTCAAAAATGCGTCCTTATCGCTTCTTTCCCTTTAAATAATATTGAATATTTATTTATTTATTCCTTTTAAACTTTTTTTATTTTCATAATAATTAAATAAAAAACTCAATCAAGCGCTAAATTATTTGCATCACCCTACCTGCGAATCGAATTCTCATGGGAAATTTGCAAAAAATTAAGTTGAATTCTAAATAAAATTTTCATTTTTTAATGATACAGTTATCACAAATAATATTTAAAATATTTTAGAAGTAACATATCATTTTAAATGTTGAAGTAAAATAAAATTATAATGAAATAATTTTATTTTATATTAAATTGATTAAATAATTGTTATGATTATCAATAAAGATTATTATTAGTTATGTTTATGTACATAAGAAATTTGAAAATTATATAATTTTTAATAAATTAAATTATAAATAACAAATTTCAATTATATCACAATTAATAAAGTAGCAATTTTTTATTATTAATTATAAAGACGAGGTTTTGAAAGAATTAAATATAAAATCTAATTTAATAGAGAATGAAAATTTGTTTAATTTTGTTATAAAAGAATATGATAATCAAATTAAATAATTTATTTTCACTTATCTAAAATTATTATCTTTAAGTACCATTTTTTATAAATTTTTTTTAGTTATTTCTAAACATGATCTTCTTTTTAAGATTCGAAGGCTATTTTAATATTTTTCCTTGAGTTAGGAGCTAGTCAGATATAGATCATTATCATCAAATCATTTTATTTTTTTATTTCTGTAAGTTTTTTTTTTTTTTTCCTCTTTCTCCTAACTTTTATGGGTGAGTGGGATCCGTTTGTGGGGTATATGGGATCCACATGTGGTCCTTTATTGATCTTTGTTAGTTTAGGTTTGAAATAATGTTATATTTGTAATTTGCTTTTTTTTTTTTTTTTTTTGTGAGCATATTAAGAATTTTTAGGTAGTTCTACCTTTTTGGTTCTGGATTTTTTTAGAGAGAATAAATTACTAGATAAGGAAAGTTATATAAAAATAATATTATACACTAGGTAAGGGAGTTACTTTGAGTTTAATTGAGTATATATGAAATGTAAAAGCATGATTATGATATTTTGATACGTAATGTTGATTAAATTTATAAAACTATCTTTATTGATAATTAGTTATTAAGATGTTTAAGTAAAGAAATAGTTATTTAAAATATTTTTTTATTGGAGGAATTTTATATGATATAGTAAGATATTTGAATTTTTTTATAGTTGTTTTATTAATCAATTTATAAGAATAATAAAAATAAAATAAATGCAAAAATATAATAAGAGAAAACGAGTTGTTTAAAATTTATTATAAAAATAATAAAATAAAATTAACTATATAAGAAGTAAGTCATGTATGTGAATTGTTTCAATAGGAAATGACTAAGTCAGTGAAAATCAACTAGTTAGTGATTTTATAAATATGATTATAATATTTTTTTAAATTAAAATAAATAATATTTTTAACATGAATTATCCCTACAACATGAGGATAAAAGCTTGATGTGGGGCAATCCAAATTCAAAATATATACGTTTAGTAGTATTCAGTTGTTGACATAAATATAAGTTTAACACTGTTTTCTCCTATTATTGAACCCCTCTTCTCTCCTGTTACTGACATGAGATATTTTAAAGTTGGTGAGATATATAAACACTGTCTTCTAAAACAAATCCACAATACTACTCAACATCAATTTCTCATCTAAAATCTATGAAGTCTTCAAATTCAATTCCAAAACAAGTACTACATAAAAAAAATGGAGATGTTTCTTCCACTATTTCCTCTGCTACTCTTCTATTCAAGTGCTCAGTATACAAACACCTTCAAATGTTCAAACTTGCTCAATGGACAAACAAATTTTAGGAAATACAAACCATTTTTCCAAAGCAATAAACAAACAAGGCCCAAATTAGAATCAAACCGGCTGCGCGCGCTGCAAGTGAGTGTAACCAGGAACAATTAGACCCTCGTTCCTCAAAGCCAGCGTCAGCAGCGATACCCGAAGCTGTTTCATGCTCAGGAGGATCCCGTCGATGGCGTCGCGACACTAGAGGCGAAGTCAGTCAATACATGATCGTGTTATAAGTCAGTATATGCGTAAAACTCAGTGTTTTTATTTAAGTGTGAAGGTATTGGCTTTTATAGTCTACAAACTCAAAACAGAATAATAACAGTTTTACTGTTGTTAGTACAACACATAATAAGAGGTATAAAATAAGAAATTATAAAATAAGAAAACAACTTGAACCAGTACATCTTATAAAATAGGAATAGTTATTGACACATAAAACATAAAGTAACTAACACTAATAATCCCTCCCTTAAGCTTAACTTACTTTATCAATCTTGAATACTCCAAGCATGTTTCTGATTTTTTCAAATTGATCAAGTTTCAGAGCTTTGATCATGATATTAGCTATTTGTTCTTTTGTACTGCATAATCTTATTTTAACTATTTGATCATTAACTAAATATCTGAGGAAATGAAATCTCACTGCTGTGAGAACAAAGTCCCACATCGGTGGGTACTTCAAAGGGGGCATGAGTGAGTGGTTATATAAGAAACCACATGCCCCCCATTTTAATCATCCCAAAATTTCTTTCCTTCTCTAAGTATTAGAAAGTGTTGTCATTCTTAGGACTAGAGAAGGGGTATGTAATTTTTCTTTCTATTATAAAATTTCCACTTTTGTCTATTATTGCTATTCAATTTTTCTTTTCTTTATTTTAGTTGAGTTCTTGTGCAAGTAGTCTGATACCTAACAGTGGTATCAGAGCCACGTTCTTATTCCGTTGCGCTAGTCACTAGAATAGTGTTGGTAAAATTCGAGTATGCTTCTGTGGTTGCGGTTTAATCTGATCTTCCACATCGGAAAAGAGTTGTTACTTGGAAAAGGTGTAGTAGTGTGAAGCTGTTATGCAGGGAAGTTACGGCTAGGAAAGATTTGGTACTTAAGTGTGTCCATTAGTGACTCACCTCTCTTTCCTGGAACTTACCTAGTGTACTTGGTTCACGTGCCTACTACTATTGTTCCAGGAGACAATACTATTCATAAGTGAGAGTTGCATAAGTGGAAACACAACCATGGCAGCAGAGTATGAGATAGAGAAGTTTAACGGGAACAATTTCTCGTTATGGAAATTGAAGATGAAGGCAATTTTGAGAAAGGACAATTGCCTTGATGCAATTGAAGGAAGACCCACAGAAATGACGGATCAGAAGTGGAAGGAAATTGATGGAAACGCTATCGCAAATTTGCATTTAGCAATGGCAGATTCCGTACTATCCAGTGTTGCGGAAAAGAATACAGCAAAGGAGATTTGGGATGCCCTCATCAAATTATATGAGGTGAAGTCTCTTCACACAAGGATATTCTTGAAGCGGAAACTCTACACTCTTTGGATGAGTGAGTCCACATCGATGACGGACCACATCAATCATCTGAACACCTTATTTGCCCAACTATCAGCAGCAAATTTCAACATAATTGAAAATGAACGTGCGGAACTTCTACTTCAGAGCCTACCAGACTCATACGATCAACTCATCATCAACATAACAAATACTAATATGGAAGGAAACCTACGCTTTGAGGATGTTGCCGGAGCTACTCTAGAAGAAGAATCCAGACGCAAGAATAAAGTAGATAGATTGGAAAATTCCAAGCAAGCAGAGGCTTTGACGATGATGAGAGGAAGATCAACAAAGCGTGACTCTAGTGGGAGTCAAAATCATGGTAGATCAAAATCTCGAGGAAGGAAGAATTTCAAATGCTACTATTGTGGCATGAGAGGGCACTTGAAGAAAGATTGTTGGAAGAAGAAAAATGCAGAGAAGTCTTCTGAGGCAACTACATCTCAAGAATGTGTTGCCAGTACCTCTGATGATGGAGAAATCCTGTATAGCGAAGCAACTATTGGTTCCAAAGGTGAAAAACAACTCACTGATGTTTGGATAATATATTCGGGAGCAACATGGCACATGACTTCACGAAGAGATTGGTTTTGCACTTATAAACCTATCTCAGAGGGATCTGTGTTCATGGGTAATGATCACGCCTTGGAAATTGCTGGAATCGATACTGTCAAATTGAAGATGTACAATGGTACTATTCGTACAATTCAAGGGGTACGACATGTGAAGGACTTGAGAAAGAATTTATTGTCTATTGGAGAATTGGATGACCTCGGTTGCAAGACCCATATTGAAGGTGGGATCTTGAAAGTAGTAAAATGTGTTCTAGTAGTGATGAAAGCAGAGAAATTTGCTGCAAACCTATACATGCTTCTGGGAGATACGTTGCAAGAGGCAGAGGTATCAGTTGCATCAGCTAGTCAAGAGGAATCAACGACAATGTGGCATCGCAGACTAGGCCATATGTCAGAACGAGGCTTGAAGGTCCTTGCGGAATGTAAACTCTTACCCGGGCTCACATCGGTAAGCTTACCTTTCTGTGAGCACTGTGTGACAAGCAAACAACATAGATTGAAATTTGAAAAGTCAACTACTAGAAGCAAACACATACTTGACTTCTGATGTGTGGGAGTCACCAGAAATGTCCCTAGGAGGAGCTAAATATTTTGTATCATTTATTGATGATTACTCTAGGAGATTGTGGGTGTACCCAATCAAGAAAAAGTCAGATGTGTTTCCAGTTTTCAAGGAATTCAAAGCACAAGTGGAGCTTGAAACTGGGAAGAAGATCAAGTGTTTAAGGATAGACAATGGAGGAGAATATACAGATGGTGAGTTTCTGGCATTCTGCAAGCAGGAGGGTATAAGGAGGCAGTTCACGGTTGCTCATACACCTCAACAAAATGGTGTAGCAGAGAGGATGAATAGAACTCTCCTAGAGAGGACTAGAGCTATCTTGCGAACAACAAGATTAGCCAAGTCTTTTTGGGCAGAAGCAGTGAACACAGCTTGTTACGTGATAAATCGATCCCCATTAACTGTGATTAGTTTAAAGACACCTATGGAGATGTGGAAAGGAAAGCCAGCAGAGTACTCTTCTCTACATGTGTTTGGATGTCCTGTGTACGTAATGTACAACTCCCAAGAAAGAACAAAGTTGGATCCAAAATCCAGAAAATGCATATTCTTGGGCTATGCTGACGGAGTTAAGGGGTATCGCCTGTGGGATCCCACTACCCGCAAGGTTATTGTCAGCAGAGACGTAATCTTTGCAGAGAATGAACTGCAAAATGAACAGGTAAATGACAACACTTCTAAAGATGTAACTACTGTACAAATAGATGGAAAGTCTGGAGAAGATTCTTTAGAAGCAGAACCAGAGCATGAGGAGCAAGAACCAGAAGAGGTCAATGATACAGAAGTTCGACGAATAACACGTCAGATAAGGAGACCATCTTGGCACTCAGACTATGTAATGGCAAGTCATGATGCATATTGTCTTCTAACAGAAGAGGGAGAACCGTCAACCTTTCAGGAGGCTGTGAGTAGTTCAGATGCTTCTCTGTGGATGGCAGCAATGCAAGAAGAAATAGAAGCCTTACACAAAAACAAGACATGGGAGCTTGTTGCACTTCCACAAGGTCGAAAAGCCATCGGCAACAAATGGGTTTATAAGATCAAACGTGATGGTAATGATCAAGTGGAACGATATCGTGCAAGACTGGTAGTAAAAGAGTATGCTCAAAAGGAAGACATTGATTTCAATGAGATATTCTCTCCAGTGGTTAGACTTACCACTATCAGAGTAGTGTTGGCTATGTGTGCTGCATTTGACTTACATCTTGAACAATTGGATGTAAAGACTGCTTTTCTTCATGGAGAACTTGAAGAAGAAATTTATATGCTCCAACCAGAAGGCTTTGAAGAACAAGGAAAAGAAAACTTGGTTTGTAGGTTGACCAAATCTTTGTACGGTTTAAAGCAGGCGCCAAGGTGTTGGTACAAGAGATTTGATTCCTTCATTATTAGCCTCAGATACAACAGACTGAGTTCAGACCATTGTACGTATTACAAGAGGTTTGATGATAATGATTTCATCATTTTGTTGTTGTATGTGGATGACATGTTGGTGGTAGGCCCCAACAAAGATCGAGTCCAAGAATTGAAGGCACAGTTGGCTAGGGAATTTGATATGAAGGACTTGGGACTCGCAAACAAGATTTTAGGGATGCAAATTCACCGAGACAAAAAGGATAGGAAAATTTGGCTCTCTCAAAAGAATTATCTTAAGAAAGTCTTGCAGCGGTTCAACATTCAAGATTGTAAGCCAATCTCTACCCCATTACCTATCAATTACAAATTATCCTCAGATATATGTCCTAGCAGTGAAGCAGAAAGGATGGAAATGTCTCTAGTGCCGTATGCATCGACGGTGGGAAGTCTTATGTATGCTATGATTTGTACGAGACCAGATATTGCACAAGCAGTTGGGACGGTTAGTCGATTTATGGCAAATCCTGGTAGAGAGCACTGGAATGCTGTGAAAAGGATCCTAAGATACATTAAAGGAACCTCAAATGCTGCATTATGTTTTGAAGGATCAGAGTTTATTGTCAGAGGATATGTTGATTCAGATTTTGCAGGTGATCTTGATAAAAGAAAATCTACTATAGGATATGTGTTTACACTTGCAAGTGGAGCGGTAAGTTGGCTATCTAAACTGCAGACTGTTGTAGCCTTATCTACTACAGAAGCGGAGTACATGGCAGCTACCCAGGCATGCAAGAAAGCAATTTGGATTCAAAGGTTATTGGGAGAACTCGGACACAAGCAACAGAAGATCAATGTGTATTGTGACAGTCAGAGTGCCTTGCACATTGCAAGGAATCCATCTTTTCATTCCAGAACAAAACACATAGGAGTACAATATCATTTTGTCAGAGAAGTAGTAGAGGAAGGGAGTGTGGATATGCAGAAGATTCATACCAAAGATAACCTAGCAGATGCCTTGACAAAACCAGTAAATGCTGACAAGTTTATACAAAGTCGATCATGTTATGGCCTATTGAAAGCATAAGGAGCATAGATGAAAAAAAAAA